GCCAGCCACATACACCTAAGGTGGCGGGTTTGAATCCACCCTGGCTGGCAAAACAACAATGATGGCTGCAACCAAAAAATAGCCAAGCATGGTGGCGGGTGCCTGTGGTCCCAGCTACTTTGGAGACTGAGGCAGGAGACTCGCTTGAGCCCGGGAGTTGGAGGTTGCTATGAGCTGTGATGCCACAGCACTCTACACAGGGGATCAGCTTGAGGCTCTGTCTCCGAAAAAAAAGAAAAAGAAAAATCAGCCAAATATGGTGGAATGCACCTGTAGTCCCCCAATACTCAGGATAATGAGGCAAGAGGACTGCTTGAGCCCAGAAGCTGGAGATTATAATGAGCTATGATGACACCACTGTACTCCAGCCCATGAAAACCCTGTCTCAAAAAAGAAAGATACAGAACAGTTTCAAGTCCTAGAGAAAGGTACTTCTAGAATCACCCAATCACCTTTCCCTGGTGGGCAGTCCCCAGATTAGAAAACTCCAGAGTTAGGCAGCACCTGTGGCTCAGGGAGTAGGGCACCAGCCCCATATACCAAGGGTTCATAGCCAGCCCCAGCCAAACTGCAAAAAAAAAGAAAAGAAAAGAAAACTCCAGAGTTTTCTGGAATCTTGGAAATCTTCATTCCTTGCCCATTGATGGCAACTCCTAATACTGACCCTCCGGTGTCCAGAAGTCACGCCACAGCTATGGGTCAATTACAGTCTACATTCCAGTTCCCTTCTCTGCTAAGCTGTCCTCATTGTCATGGTACAAAACATGCCATGCATTTTCTTTTTTCTTCCACGTGCCATTTCAAATCCCCTCCAAAAGAAAACAAAACAAAACTCTTTTTCTCCCCCTAAAAAGTTTCAGAGCCGTTAAAACTCTTGGTAGATTTGGAATGGCAGAGAGTGATATGTTTGGGGCTGGATTGGATCCATTTTTCCCCATGGGCTATAACAAAGGTTTCATTTTAAATCCTGACACTGTGCAGTACTCTTTCTGGTTGGAGGTGGGGAGGGGGGCTAGCACTTCTCATTATGAGAATAGCAGAGTGCACTCTGCTTGAAAAGCAGCCACACTGGGCAAGTTTCAGAGCCATGTGTCTCCGTGTTGAAAGGCAGCAGAGAGCCAGCACAGAATGACAGGACAGAAGTGTCACGTGGGACAGTCTTGCTTCGAAGCTGTGTCTGTGGCAGCCTCTTCCCTGAGGTAGGAATTGAAACAAATCCATTAACAATCTGTAGGTCAGACTGAAATTCTGAATGACCACCAGGCCAGACAGGTCAGAAGTCCACATTTTCTTTTTTTAAATGTTTTTTTAAAATCCTTCCTTTGCCTTTCAACTAGTTCAACATGAGTAAAACAAAAGGAAAAAAATCAAATGCATACAGATATAAGACAGAGTAACTTCCAATGCGAGGTAATGTGGTTATGAGGGAAGGTAAATCTACTCAAAATCAGCTTTGTTAAGCAATAACTGAGGGAAGCACAGATAAGAGTCCTCCTCAGGGTTAATAATGAGGTTCCCAGTTTTATAGCCAAAATGGTGTCTGATTCTGACCCTGTAAATAGTTTTATGTCTTTCTCTTTGAGAAATAATCTTTAGTCCACACATATACAGATAGAAAATTATACTTACATATGTAAATATAGCAAAAAGATCTAGAAGAATATATGACTTGATGTCTAATATTATTTATTTGAAGGGCACATGGGTTGAGGAGACTTACAAGAAATTTTAGCCTTAGCTTTAACATTATACTTCTATAAGAATTCATGGATATCACTTATGTAAGAATTATAAAATTTTAGCCAAGAAGAAGAAACAGCAGCAGCAATAGTGTAGGAAGAGGAGGAAAAGAGAACAGCAAAAAATTGGAAGCAACCTAAAATGCTCAACAATAAATGATTAAGATGGTACATCCATACAATTGAATATTAGTTTTTAAAGTTCCATTTTTTAAACATATGGGAGAAAGGTCAATGTATACCAAAGAAAAATAGTTTTAGAACAATTTAATATGATCCCTTTCTCACACACCTGTAAAAAAAAAAAGACTGAAAACGTTAATGGCTGATAGGTATCTCTAGGTAGTAAGAATATGGGTAATTTTTTAGTTTTTCTTCACTGAGTGTTTTAAATCTTTTACAATGAACCTTGTATAGTAAGAAAAAAGATTCCCCCATAATGAATAATTCTTTCTTTTAGATTTAAAAATATTTGTTAATTTTAAATATAAATCAAGACACAAACATTTTATTTTTAAACATTCAAAGTCCAAAATAAGTATATCAGTCTTTGAGTTCCGAGAGACTTTGAAGCTGTGCAAATAGCATGACTAGGCAAGCAAGTAAAAACTGAAATGGTAACTTTAACCACGGCAATAATGGGAAGCAAAATTATTCTATTTGACACAAATTAAGAGTCTGTAATGGCCCCTCTCAGTGGAATCTGTAATGGCCCCTATCTCCTCATTACAACAGCTATCTCTAAATAAGTATTTTTTGATCTGCTTCTCACCAGGAAAGCATCTGTCAGGAGCCATACGGCACCACTGACTAATTCTTCTCCCTGAGTCTGAGAGGACTGTGTCCTTATTTTTTTAAAACCTTAGAAGATACACTCATTTTCAGGATGTGTTTTACTGACTTAAGTGTCTGATTTGCGAAGTGTTCTCTAGAGACACCTTGTCTCATTTGAATGGCAGTTTCAAGAAACCAATCTTTCAGACAACACTGGGACCTAGACCCAGGAGTGACTCAGACAGTGACTAATGGGGCAGGACTCAGATGCTAAGGGACACAGCTGACCTAGACAACATTCTCCGCAGAAACAATGAGGCTTCCTAACTTTTCTCAACTTTTTAATTTTAAAAAAATGAACAAGATAGGAGCAACCCAGGAGCAGAAAACAAAAGAAGAAGAAGAAGAAAGAAAAAGCGAGAATAAAAGAAAAAAGAAACCAAAAAACTAAGATGTATGACAGGGTGAAGATGAGTAAAAAAAATCATAGTGCTCCAGAACATAAGGACTGGAATGGACCTCAAGAGATCATCTACTTAAACCACCGACAGGGAAACTAAAGCCCACAGAAGCTTTGTCTTGTTTATTCTTGAGGTCCTGCAACTAGTTAAGTGGTGAAAAACAAACTCTTTTTGGCACTTGATCTCATCTAAAGCTCTAAACTTCTTGTCAATCGATGCTGAGAGTAAGAAGACTTGTCTCACATACAGTAGGCATTTAAGTATATACTGATGTGATGTGGAGTACAGAGAAGACCAAGCCTAGCAGAGCAGTGTTAGGGCTTTTCTCAAAAGGCAGGCAGGACAGTGATGTGCCTTCAGCTGCTCCCCATTACAATCTCCTCACTCTTAATTCGTTTTCAACACCTCCCACATTTCACATCTTCTTGGTAATTAGGCAATAGTCCATGATGATGTGTGTGGCTTGGGCTCGCTGTTTTTCTAGTCTTGCAGACTTCTACAGTTTTTTTTTTCTCCCCCCAACAGAAATGTTATTGCTGTTTCTGCCTTCCAGAATAAATATGGAGTTCAATTTTCTTTTACCTCTAGGAGAGCATAGGAGACTCACCAAGGGAGTAAAGTGCCTGCAATTGACATACATTTCCTCACTGAACACTACCATGACTCATTTCTTATAAAGGTAAAACTGGACTGGCTTTGTCTTTTTGACAATAAAGTATGTTATATGCAGGAATGGAAACGATCTAGCAAAATAACCTAGACCACAGTAAACCACCTTAGACAAATGAGAAAATCTATTCAAGACTACTGAGCTATGACTCTTTTATATTTAAATACAAGACATCCAACAGCTATCTCTAAATAAGTATTTTTTACATTAATTTTTTTTTTAGAGACAGAGTTATAAAGCACTATGGCATCACAGCTTACAGCAACCTCCAACTCCTGGGCTTAGGCGATTCTCTTGCCTCAGCCTCCCTAGTAGCTGGGACCACAAGCGCCCGCCACAATGCCTGGCTATTTTTTGTTGCACTTTGCCCCTGGGTTAGGTTTGAACCCACCACCCTCAGTGTACGGGGCCGGCACCCTACCCATTGAGCCACAGGTGCCGCCCGTACATTAATTTTCTTTTTTTTTTTTTTTTTGATATAGAGCCTT